CAGGCACTCACTGCCCACCGCACAGTCTTGTTACACCAGCCGTAATGAATGCTGTGCCATGTGCCCCAGTACGGTGCTGGGACAGCTGCAGCAAGGGGCTCAGCCCTGGCAAGGGGCAGTGACTGTGCCAGCAGTGCAGCAGGGATGGTACTCACGTATTCAGTGTCGGCCTTGGAGTCATAATACTCGATGTCTTCCTCCTGCAGAGAAAAGAGACAGCTGAGTTAGTGCCAGGCAGGGATGGGGATGGCAGGGATGGGGATGGCAGCGATGGGGATGGCGGGGGGGGTCCCTCCCCCTTACTCATTCCCTCGGCACCTCTGCCATGTGCTGGCAGCCACCACATTGCTGAGGACCGAACCCTGCCCGCCCCACATCCCCCTCATCTGCCCTCCAAGGACTGGCCATCGCCTGCCATGCTTCAATCTGCTCTTGGCTGCTGCCAAGCCACAGCAGCATGGGGCCATGCACAGCCTCCACCATGGCCAAACAGCCCTGTGCCAGTGCCACCGGCATGAGCCTTCTGAAGGCTGCAACTGTGTGCAAGACTGCACCGTGTCCCCACGCCCAGGTCCTGCTGCAAGCATTGGGAGTTATAGGAGAGCTGGGCACGGGCAGCAAGGCAGGCAGCGGCCCCACAGCCAGCAGAGCTCGCCTCCCCTTGCGGCAGAAACGGGGAGAAGAGTGTCCTTGCTTCCGCAGAGAAATGCACGTCGTTAATTTGGGGTATTTAGAGCCTGTTTAGGCAGAAAGGTCTGCTTGGATCCCCCTTCTCCACGTGTCAGGATGTGAGGCAGCTGATAAAATTCCTAAAGAGGCAATTTGGAGAGCAGCAGTGCTGTCACAACAGCGTTTTGTGTGCCATCAGAAGGGGTAATTAAAGGGCACTCGGAGACTCTTCTCTGCGTGCCATGATGCGAGCGTGAGGCAGGCGTACCGGCAGCCGTCGTGGCACTAACATGTCTGCCATTCAATCAGCCATCAGCAGCCGCTGTGCAAACCAGCCTTCCTCCCCCCATGCGCAGGCAGCATTTTGGGATGATTATTGCTGTTGTTATTTAACAAGGAAAGTGATCTGGGCACAGAACAGAAACGCAGCCAAAACCTTAATGGTGCTGACTGCATGCCTGTCCTCCCCACCCCTCCTCTGCTGCTGCCTCTGCAGCACCCAGCAGTGCCAGGCTGGTGGCACCGTGACACCCAGCCCAGCCTGGTCATGGGCTTGTGCTGGTGGCACCAAGACACCCAGCCCAGCCTGGTCACGTGCTTGTGCTCGGGAAAGGGACCAACAGGTCTGAGCAACTTGCCAGGCAGCCAGCAGCACCCACTCCACTGTCCAGCCCCACTGGGAGCTGGCAGTCACTAACCCCTTGCCAGAGTTATCCTCTAGCCACTAACCTGCTCCCTAGGAAGTTTTGCTGCTGCTTCTCCAGGCTGCTAAGGCACAAGAGCACCAAGAGGTGGGAAAGCCCCTGGAGTGGGGATGCTGCTCTCTCAGGGGCACCGGTGGCAGGGGGACCCTGGCAGGCTGCAGGGGTGGGAATTGCAAAGGGCAGTTTCAGCTTCCTCCTGGGCAGAGGGGCTGGTCCCTCCTGCAGGCTCTGCGACTCTAATCATGGTGATAAGGCAGCACCGAGAGGGGAAATTGAAAAAAAATTGACGCAGCATCTTCCAATTTCTGCTATTAAAAAGCCTAGTCATTAAGGGAATGTACTTATTAATTATCTGTGATTTGTTGTGAAATGCTGAGGGGTTCACAACAACAAGAAAAGGGAAAAAAATTAATTTCTCTTTGGATCCCCTCCCCGTGCCGCTCCCAGACCCACGCACGCCCTTGCCCCTTTCTGGCACTGCCGTTTCCCTGGGTCCACGGCCATCTGCACTTCCTAATTAAAGGAACCCCCAGGAGACCCGTAACACAAATGAGCTAATTTCATGTTTAATGATCTTTAATCAGAAGTGAGTGTGACTAACAACAGCCATCCAGAAGGTGCTTTGTTATTCACTTTATCTTCCATCGGCTCCTCGGAAAAGCTCAAATCCCCTCTGACACATGGTGGCCCTGCTCCCACAGTGGGAGAGAGGGTGCAAGGTGATGCTTGGGGTGGAGAGCTGGTCCCCTGGTCCTGCCTTCACCCACTCCAGCACTCCCATGGCATGGCACAGCTCAGGGAGCAGACCTCCTGGAAGGATGTCTCTCCTACCCGTTTCCCTAGGGATCGCAGAGCCCTTGCCATGCACTTTTTCAAGCCACGATGACCCCAGGAGCAGCTGGGTGAGGTCCCAGCCCCGCTCCATGCCATGGCTGAGGCTTGCACATGTGAGATAGCACATGTGGGACAGCCACCAACACTGCGGCCCTGGTCGTGTGACATGCCCAATGCTGGGCTCTGCTCTCCTTGCCACAACTCGGCTGATGCTGGGGACGGCTCATGGGGTGCGAGGGAGCCTGTGGAACCTGATAGGTGTCTGTGTCCTTGGCACTCAAGAGGCCGGTAGAAATTTATTCCAGGAAGAATTGACAGAGCCCTTGGAAACGCTCTAGAGAGATGCCAGGGGTCTCCTGAGAGGCAACATGGGATCCTACAGTTTCCTCTCCCTAATGCTTATTTTTTAAACCATACTCGCCTTCTTCATGTAATCCTCTCCTCCTCCTCCTCCTCTGGTCCACGTTAAACCCAGCACCCAGTCTGTGTAAATAGCACTGGTATTTCTAGAGCCTTTCAGAATAAATATCAATAAAGAAAACAAGTGGGTGAAGATGAGGGATTTCAGGGCAAAACATTGGCCCCGCCTCTTGCAAACAAGTCTGCAAAAAAGCACTCGCCAGTGGGCATTGAAGGGGAGGTGGACGCTGGGTTGCTGCTCCTCGATGATGTATTAACTGCTGCCTATTTTCTCACACCATAATCGCCAAACACCAAACGGCATCTGCGTAATGGCACTGCAACCACCATGTCGCTAGCGGATAAACATGGGGTTATTTCAGTCTCCTAAACCCTCAGTGCAAGTTAAGAGGAAACGACTTTGGGAGTTAAGTGCAATGACAGAGTAATCTGCAAACACCACTGAAGCCATCGCCCCAGCTTCTCTGGCAAAGCCATCAAGCAGCCACCGTGTCTGCACCAAACCCTTGTGGTTCAGTGTCACTGGGCAGCCCCCAGCCAGAGCTTGACCCAGGTCGGACCTCCTGGATAGGGCTCCAGGGACACTGCATGCCAGAGTCTTCCCAGGGACCTTAGGTCCTGCTTGTCCCCCTTGAGCCCTCCCCAATAGCCCTGTGCTCCACTCTTTCACCAATTTTACACTAAAACGCCAAGTAAAAAGCTAATTAAAAAAAACAGTCTGTGAGCTTCTGGAGAGCTGCAAGCTGGAGCCTTGCCAGCAACTCAAGGGAGGACCCTGCTTCAGCATGGGTGCTCCCTGACCATGCACCGGCATGCCAGGTATGAGCCAAAGCCCATGACAAGGAGGGGCACGGGGGGTTTTGGGTGGACAGTGAGGGGCACTCCTCCCCGCCACCCCTCACACAGCCTTCTCCAAGAGCAAATATGTCTTTTTTTGCCTAAAAACAATTACAGCAACTAAAAATAATGCTACATAGGTCAGTGCTTTGCTATCTTGCTGCAGCCTGGTGATGTCAGGAATGGAGGGGTCCTGGTCCAAACCTCCATGTCAGCAGTCTAATGAGGTGGCAATCAAACCATGTCACACATGCAGCTGCCATTGCCCCAAAAAAGCCTCAGACGGAGCTGTCGGTGGCACATTGGCTCCTTGCTCCAGTCCATTCAGCCAGAGCACGCAGCTGGCAGGGACACAGCAGAGGGGCTGTGGCTCGCTCTCCCTCTATAGCTTTTCTGTAAGATGACCTGTGCTGCCTAGTCCTTCTCTCTCAGATCGGTTATCCTCCTCAGGATCGCTCACCATCATCTTGTAAGGGTCACCCTGCTGATCGCATGCCCTGCAGATGCTGTGGCTCCTTGGGGAGATTTTACAGGTAGCTCCCACCGCATTGCATTGATTTTGGTCCATCTCAGCCCTCCGACTGCAGGTTTCATTTCTCCAAGTGGCCCGGGTGACCTCTGCAGTCAGGAAATCTCTTTCAAGATTTAACTGGCTCTGGAAGAGTGAAATCCTGCAGCAGTTTGCCTCAGAGGCAGTTAGGAGGAACTCAGAGGGTAGTGGGGAAGACAAGCTGGATCCCAAGCCAGCACCTGCCCATTTCTCAGCCACCAGCTGGGGCTGGTGGCAGGGCTAGCATTCCAGCCCACAGTGTGCTGATGGGGGGACAAGCCAGGTGACCAGAATTTGTGCCTGCTGAGACCCATGGGCAATTCAGCAGGTGGGGAGAGCAAGCAGGAGCTGGCCCGCACAGCACCAGCAGCTCTGCTCACAGGTCCATCTTTCCTCTGCCATCAGCACTTATAATGGGCAGTGAATATTTAGGGAATTCTTCATGTCCCTAAACCACCAAGCATACAGAAATAGCAATAGATTTTGCTTATAATTGCACCTTTCATATGGGAGATAGCCTGCAGCACATCACGCAGCTCACGCAGCTCCTACTGTATCTGCATTAAGGCTGGGTGACAGCAGAGGACAAGCAGGGGGACACAGCGCATTCCCACCGCAGCATTGCCCCTGCCAAGCCTGCCTGTGTCAGGAGGAGCAAGATAGAAGCAGCCGATGGCTGTGCCTGGGGATGCGTCCATGCCTGCCAGTTTGCCCTAGCTGGCAGCTAGGGCTGGAGGTCTCAGCTGGGTGCTGGGTGAGTGCTCACCCCAAACTCTCCCAGCTCTGCCATAAGCACAGCAGCTTTCTTGGCTGTGTAACTGCCCTGGGTTACAGTTTAAAATGTGCCAAAAGA